TAGCATGCTAATCTACGGATCCCTGTCAGACCGTTGTCTGCAACTCGGGGGGGGGGGGAAATGAGAGAGTTGGAGTGTGTGGATGAAAGAAGTAGAGAGTGTGAGGCAAATAGTAGAGAACAAGACTTGACACACAGTGTAGCTGGATTGACGGTGGAACATAGTGGTGGTAGAAGGAGAGGAATCTCGTTGAAGGGTGATGTGAGCGGGGAAGAGGAAGGGACGATAAAGAAATGTCTGTCAGTACACTTCCTATTCTCTGCTCATTTCTGTGAGAGCAGATGAGCGACCTGAAGAGAGGTGTAATGTCTCGGTAAAGCAACATCTCAGACCGTACTGTGGCGGGAATTGCTTCGGCTGTGGATTACAGCCTCCTCAGATGTGTGCGTGTCTGTGTGTGTCTGTGTGATTTGAAACCACTCGTCTGGTAATTTCATTCCCCTGACGCACCTCAATTCAGAGATTTGATCCACACTCGCCCCCCCCTAACCTCCCCCACCTCTCTTTCTGTGTCCTTACACTGTCTCCGTCTTCCCTCTCCATTCATGCTTCTCACTGCACATCTGCCAATTGACCCTATTCCAGAGTAGATGTGGTTTAAGCTCAACTAGAGCCACGACCTTACACACACCCCACTGTAACACAGGGCTGATGAGTAGATAAGAGTGAGAAAGTGTTGTTAAGGCGGTTATTCGGAGTGAATGGGACTACAGCTAGAGCTTCGTGAGAGGCCAGAGACTGCCTAGTTCTTTGTATGTGTGTCTGTGAGTGAAGCGTCACCAGTCTGACTCTTAGTGTTTGCACCAGGGCAGTTCTTATAGATAAAAAAAACAATAAGAGACTTCTTTATGTTGAGTATTGGCAGTCGCACACAGTCACATTGCACCTCTTTTTGTGTGGATGTCTAGTCTGGCCAGTTATGTAACGCATTAGACTGACCCTAACGCAGAAGGTGCATGCATTCAAATCAATTAGTTTATGATGTCAGAATACATCCGTCAACAGCTGAAAGTGAACTATCGCTTACTATACATGGAAATAAGGCTGAGATGAAATGTGTGAGAAGCAACAGAGGGATTAAGAATGACGAGCGTGAGATTCATGCAGACAGATTTTCCAGGAGGAAAGTATGAGAAGCTAATTAAAAAGCAGATGATCTGTGAAGAGATGTGACAGAGAGGAGATCCCTGTCCCCCCCCCCCCCCCTCTCTCTTTCTCTTTCTTTCTTTCTTAAGGCTTCTTGATTTACGTTTATAACCTCTCCCTCTGCGTCCTTTATCCCACTCCAGAACCATAGTCTCCTCAGCGACCGTCTGACGAGTGGATGTGTTGAAGTTGTTACCCTCTTGCGTCTTCCTGTTCCCGTTTTTGATCTGCAGGCTCTCTCAGTCCTGCAGGTGAAGATGAAAGTAGGTGGGAGGGGAGATGCAGATGGAAGATCTGAAATAGGAAAACAGCAGGATGGCGATCGGTGGGAGGGCAAGGGGAAATGGTTTGTCTGTTGCCCGTGGAGGTTGTGAAGAGAGGGCTGGCTGGTTGTGGTGTGTGTGTGAGTGTGTGTCTGTTTGGTTTGTCTCTCGGTGACCACATTTTCCTCCCCCTTTTCCAAGGTCAACATGGGGAGTCTTAGCCGAGAGGCACCATAGTAATTGCGGTGCCTGGTCATTAACTATTCATCACCTCACACCACACTGCTTGGCCGAGTGTTTTGTGCTTATGTGTGTTTGGGAGTTACAGACGTAACTCTGCGTCAGCATTGTGTTGTTTTCCTGCGTGTCCGTGTGCAAATGAGACAGCTGGCTCACGTCTCAACAAGAGGTTTCCAGGCGCACCTATTCAGGCTCCGTTGTGTCTCCCTTGTCGTCCAGTCCTCATTGTCTGCCAGCTCTGCCTTGACAAATGCACACCCGTCTGACCACAAACTCTTCAGGGCGTGTTCGCTACATGAGGTGAATCCAGGCGCCGCCTCTTTCTGTGTTTTGTACCCTCCTCCTCGTTTTTTTTTTTTTTACACCAGCATTGTGATGGTAGAGAATGGAGCGCTCGTAAAGATGGGGGTGTAACTGTACCCCCTCAGATGGAGCAAGTGGGCTGGGTTCACTGGGGTCTGGAGAGGGGGAGGGACGTCGAGAGAGAGAGAGACAGGGAGAGACAGATGTAAAAGAATTAGCCGCTCCAAGCGGCAGAGTTGCCATGGCTACGGGGGAAACGGATGAATGAATGACATCACAGTGGCGGGGAGGTGAGAGAGTGTGAAATTGATTTGGTGGCGGCGAACAGGGAGGCGGCTCTCGCTGGGTTTTCGTTGGGCAGACACATTTCTCTCTCCTCCGTACCCTGGTGTCTCCTGTGGACGAGCTCTCACCGGTAAGGCTGTTTCTCTTCTCATCAGAGGGAAGGTACATTTTGAGGATGAATGTAGGTGTGATTTATTTTTTTTTAAAAAAAATTTTCTTTTCACTCTGATAACTGTCTTGACCATGTGAGGCGGACTTAGGGAAGACGTGTGTGTGTGTGTGTGTGTGTGTGTTACATGTACATGGATGACATGTGGTGCTCCTGGAGTGCCACTGGGAATGAAAAGAAAGGCAGATGTGCAGTTGTCGTTGGTGTGTGTGTATATATATATATATATATACACACACACACACACCATGAGATGCTTAGTGTGGAAGAATGTGTGTGTGTCTCTGGCTGGGAATGAACAGCTGATTGCGCGAGAATGATTTCAATGCGCGGTGAGATCCTCACTATAGCGAGAATTAGTATCTGTGTAGATGTTGTCGCACTTCAGAGCTGCACATGATCGTGAATCTGTTGTGACAATGTTTGTGTGACTGTGTGTGTGTGTTAGTTAGAGAGAGATGCACTATCTTGCTGCGCCGTTGTTGTCTAGCAACTTGCAGTGCTGATGTCCCCCTCCACAGATCAGAGCACATGATCAGTCGTTGAACAGCACCCTTGGAGCTGCTAAAGTCTCGCTGAAGAACACTTCAGCGGGGAAGCTGCCTTTCCTGACATTGGAGCGTGAATCTGGCTCCTCTGATTTAAAGGGGCGGTCTGACGTCTCATTGGCACCAGCCTGCTGCGAGTTCATGGGTAAAGCCCGCAACCGTTCATCTGGCTGCGTGATTAATTACAAAGTTGACCTGCGGTGACCCGTGCGGGACAAGCGGTCGGAGTTGAAAGGTGGGTGCTAGAGGTCACAGCAAAGCCAATCAGAATGCTTAGCTCAGTGTCTCTTCACTTAGGCCAGCATCCAGGATTGGGGGAGCAGATTACATGGGGGATCAAGGGCTCAAAAATGTAGGCTATAGATTTGGAGAACGTAATCCATTACTACAACTGCTCCACTACTACAATCTGCAGATCTTTTTGGAATGAGGTGAATTTGGGATGGTGGTTGGTTTCACATTGTTTCGGTGGCTAATGGCTAACATCAAGGCCATGCTGTTGTTGAACAGAGCATTCAAGCTCCAAGGACACAATACTGCAGGCGATCTAGTATCATGGTCTTCTGCGGCAGGTATAGTCTTTTTGTTTCAAGGGAGAATATGCGAATAGATACATTTACATTTGGATTTGCATCATTTAGCTGCCGTTCCTAACTAGACGTTTTTTGTTCTATTCAGAAAATCACAGCAGTCGAGTACGTAAAGTATAAAGTTCAAAGCCATTACGGTACATGTAAGGCTGATGAATGTTGGCTTTAAGGCAGAAAGTTATTGTAAATGTTGTTGTTGCTATGTGAAAGGGGGAGTGATGGTCAACTTAGTTAGCTTCAAAGCTAAGTCCACATAGTTTAGCGGAGCAGTTGATGCTGTGAAGGCGTCTTTGAGAAGGAGTGAGATGCTAGAAGTCAATCTGTCCGGCTTCAGCACAGCGCAGGCTCAGCTCATCATTTATGAATAGGTACGGGGTGAATACACATGAGGCTATTTCAGACAGATTCATTTAAACCTGTGGAAAAATGTCCCTGTGCAGGTGTAGGAAACTGCCCCATAGGCGTTGGTTGCTGTTTTGTGTGTGTGTGTGTGTGTGTGTGTGTGTGTGTGTGTGTGTGTGTGTGT